AAAGTTGAGTTAACTTAAAATTTTCAAGCAGCCGGTTGCAACGTAATATTGAGTTTTTATCTTATTCCATAAAGTATACTTGACTTAAACCAGCCTTTTCAAAGACCTTCAAAAAATAAAAAATAAAATAAACATTTGGCAATTCAATCTCTGAGGTTGAATGAACTCTTCGTTTCTTTGCAGCCAGTTGCTTTAACATTTTAAGTTTACTCAACTTAGAAAAACATATTTGGCACAACTTCAAACACTGAAGTTGTATAACCTCAAAATTCCTTTGCAGCCGGTTGCTTTAAAATTTTAAGAAGTTAACTCAACATTTTATTTTTTACAGTGTATATCCATGTTCAGAGTAAACAAATGTTTCAATCAAATAAAATTTTAAAAGGGATTAGAAAGTACAATACTGTATGATAGTCTCATTAGTAAATGTTAGTTAATTACTAAATTAAAATCAACAGTGAAAAAGCCAGACTTATTACAGGTACTATGGTAAAGATTAAAAATTGCAACTGAATTAGTTATTAACTCATTTAATAAAATATATGACTTGTAATTAGTTATGACTATAATTTTAATGCATTATCAAAAATTAACTAAGAAATTAAGATGACCTAAGAAAGCTTAGTTAAAGTAAATATTTTGTAGTTTTCTTAGTAGGGCTGCATGGTATTGTAAAAATCTGATATTGCGATTTTTTATTTTTCTGCAATAAATATTGAGATGTGAATATTATATATATATATATATATTATTTGTGTGAAGTTTCACAATTTTTATTTATTTATTTATTTGTTTTAAATATCTTTATCTTTTTTTTCTGAGGATTCCAACGGTATACATTGTATCGTGAAGAATCACACTGCAAAAATGCTTTTCTTACTTAATTTTTGTCTAGTTTCCAGTCCAAATATCTCAATTTCTATTTGAAAAAAATATTTTTTACACATGCAAATGATTATCATTCACTCTATTATGGTTAAACTCTGCAGTGACTCTACATTCTGTAGCTCCTGGTCAACTATAATTTAGACTCAAAATTGCAGATCGTGACTATTGTGAATGCACACAAAGTGATATTGATGCTATTGTGCAGCCCTATTTCATAGCAAGTTTAGTTAAATTAACGTTAACTATTAGACCCTTATTGCACACTACTAGCGCACAATAACTGTAAAATGATTTTTCAGTCAATATGTCAGCATGTCAAAAGCCCACTTAACATGTGAAAATGTTAATGTTGTAACTATTAAGCAAACCAATTAAGCCTCCAAGCATTTGCCGCTGTTATGAACTCCATTGCAAATGCAAGTTGAATATTCTTAAAAAGCTTTCTAAGAGTTTAATAATAAATAATTATTCACTCTATTTTAAAGTGCCCGTTATATCAATATTATACATGGTCCTTATCATGATATATCATCATAACACTTATGATTTCCAAGAGAAATCATTTATTTTCTCTTATAGAGAGCCACCTAAAACGCTTCAGTCCAACTCAAGATACTACTTCCACAAAATTTCTGTCACAATCTGAAATATTAACATACTGTTTGGGTTTGGTTGGAGTATTGGAGCGCGGGTGGTGAGGGTGCGTGGACGCCGGCCTCCCTATTCTGTCCCCCTAGACGCGGATATAAGAGGGGTGCGGGTGGTGAGTGTAGTTTCGCGGAGTCAAGAGCCCCCCTCTCTATTCTGCCACCCTAGACGGGGATAAAACTGAGGGCGCAGGTGATGAGGGTAGTGTTGCGGACGCCGCCTTCTCTATTCTGCCGCCATAGACGCGGATATAACTGATGGCGCAGAGGGATGAGGGTTGTTTGGCCGCCTAGGTCACCTCTATGGACGCGCCGGCCCTGAGTATAAATAAATAACATTTAAATGGACTCTTTTTTTCTGAACATTAAACCATGTATATCTATTCAGGTACACCCAATAAACCAATAACTTTTTTAAAATAACATCATACAGTATTATATTTTTAACTAGTTAGGTCCATCTTGCTAGCATACACCAGGCTATTATACAAATTAACATTTAACAGCAACCTATTTATCATGTATTATAAAGATACAATGGAAATACATGCAGTCCCAACTCTGTAAATAACTGAAACAAGATCCAGGAACTTGGTTGAGAACCACTGATATGCACTAATGAGCCAAAGCATCAATGATTAATTCCAAGTTAAATAAAATGTTATTGATCATCTCCAAACAAGAACACACAATAAGGTTTGCAAGGTTAGACATTTCATCCACATTTCATCATTTCTTCTAATCAGTGTGTGTGGATGCAAGATAAGTGGGCAAGTATAAAGATCTGAATGAATGTAATAAGGGCTATATTGTTATGGTAAGACTCCTGGGACAGAGTATCTCTGGCAAGACATGTATACTATAAACTGCAAGGTGTGTGGGTTGCTCCTGGACAGCAGTGGTGAGAATTTACCAATAGTGTTTCAAAGAGGGACAGATCACAAACTGGCAGCAGGGTTTCAGCGCCCGAGGCTCATTGAAGCATGAGGACACCAAAGACTATCCTATCTGGCCCAAGTCAACAGAAAGTCTGTTATGGCACAAGACACACAATAGTGGGATGCTCTGGGCATTGTTCTGCTCTACAACACTGGGTACATTTCTCACATGCTACCAAGCTAAGAACTTCTGCAGACCAGGGAAACACCTACCTGGTGTGCTCTTTTTTTAGCAGGATAATGCACCCCGTCACACCACACAAATTTCTCAGGAATGATTTGAAGATCATGATGTTAATATCCAAGGTGATTATAAAGTTCAATGTGTTCATGAGCCTTTAAAAAGCCTCAGATCTTAACCCAATTGAGATGTGTCAGGCAAGTTTAATCTAACATAACAGGCTTAAAGGATCTGCTGCTAATGTATTTGTGCCAAATACAGGATGCCTTCAAGTACTGTATTTTTTAGTGTCCACACATAAACAGGTTGGCAGCGTACAGACACCAACACCAAACAAGAAAAAACCTAAAAACCAATCCAGATAATGAAAACTTACATTTTAAGTATTTAGGCACAATTATTGACAATAAACTGAATTTTGATAATAATGTAGAGGCTGTTTATAAGAAGGTAAGTCAGCGTCTCTCTCTCCTCCACAAGTTGAGAAGTTTAAATGTTAGTACATAGACTTTAAACATGGCATGTAGATCATTAATAGAGAGTGTTCTCACATAATATTGTTTCATGGTTTGGTAACACATTTAAACAGAAATTATCAATCAGGCGAATAAGATAACTGGTCACAAACAACATTTGCTGCAGATTCTATTTTACTCCTTAATGGAAAAAACAGCAATTAAAATTTTTAAAGACAATACACATCCCCTAAACTCAGCTTTCGAAGTTTTACCATAAGGACACAGGTTTAGAATTCATAAAGTCCAAAGAAATGCTTTTAAAAAGTCATGTATCCCAATTGCATTTGTTGTCTTAAATCAGATCACTGTTTGAAGTAAATGGGGTGGTTGTCAAAAATGATCTACAGTCATTTGTATGGGGCTAATTTGTATTTTTTAAGTTTTTAATGTATGTTGTTGTCCTAATGAGTATTGCTATTGTGTGATTGTTGTATGGTTGTATGTATGCAGTTGTTGTCTTAAATCCAGTGTTGAAGACAGATTTCCTTTTTTGCAAGCAGAACGGACAAAAAGTTTAAACTAAACTAAACTAAAACATGGGGAACATACAGTTACAGCTAGAATTATTATCCCTCCTGTGTGAAGCTAATAATATGCCAAAACAAACTAAATTTGAATTGCATTCATTTGAATTATTGACAGTTGTAATTTAATAGATCTGAATTTTTATGCTTTTAAATTGTTTTGAATTTCTTATTTAAATGAGAATTTCAAAGCTTAAATATTGAACATCTGAAATTTAAGACAACTGAATTTTTCAAGGCTGGATTTTTTACAGACATACTTTTAAACTTCAGATTTGTTGTGTTCTAAATTCCTAGACTGCAGATATCCAGTTTGTAAAAAATACAGTTTCAAGTTTTCAAGATGAAAAAATTCAGGACATCAAATTTAATATTCTAAAATTCAAAACCAGAAATTCAGATTCAGCAGAAAGTACACTGAATTTATTTATTTTTTTACTTGTCCAAACTACTTAATTGAAATGAGCTGAAACAACACAATTGTTGAGACTTCATTGGGACAAATTAATTTTTTATGTTCAACCCACATAAATTTGTTAAAAGTGTTGAGTTAATTTAATTTGTATTGGGACAACATGAATGAATTTTGTGAAACCCTGCATTTTTTAAAGTGTAGGTCAGGGGTCATCAACAGGGAGGAGTAGACGATCACCAAAAATTCAAACTAAGCAGTTTGGCCAATCACAGAGCTGCATGAGTTTACTGGTGTATGCGAGGCTCAGAAGGACACAATTCTTCTGCAAACTGCATATTGGGGGTCAGCTATTTTCACTAATTTGTGTAATAAATATATACAATACATGCTTCTGTGAACCAAATTCATATATTTAATTCAAATACGCCTTATTGGTTAATCAATTTTATTTACGTTTTTGCTGTTTAGAGGGATAAAGAGCTAATTCAGACCTAGGCTGTAACCTCTGATGGGTTATTTCAGCAGACACAGGGCTCTTACTCCTTTACCAAGGACAGGGCTCCTTTACCAAAGTCACATTTAAATACTGTACTTTTCAAGCTTTTTCAAAGTGCATTTTCTAACTGTCCCAGCATTTTTTTCCCATGGAAGAAAAATGTTATAGGAAACACTGAAAAATTCCCTGATTTGTTAGCCTAATTTGGGAAATATTTTGAAAAAAAAAAAAAGAAAATCAAAAAAAGAAAAAAAGAAAAAGGAGAAATAATAATTTTGACTTTAACTGTATATGGTGGGCATTCCTCAGTGAAAACATAATCCCAAAGATACTTTTCATCACTGTCAATTTCATAGATGATCTTTTCAGCTAAAAAAAGTAGTAGATCCTCACCGTGACTCTGGAGGAAAGAGGTAAAGGGACCAGGTGACCCTCTGCCGACACCATTCGGGCTGCTTGTGCTCCAGCCATCTGTACAGACGAGCCCTGCGACTCTGAAAGACGGATGACCACATGAGATTATATGACCAGTAAGTTAGTTTCAGATCAATAGAAGATCTAGAAGTACTTTATGCTGCAATTTCACAACAGTGAATTGACCAGAAAAAAGGTCCAGACATCTGTGACAAATCTACCATGAGAAGCAGAGAAATAGCAGTAATAAATCAAGTGTAGATTTCCTCACCAGGTTTCCTTCCTCGTCTGCGTTGTCGTCTTCACTGTGGTGTTCATCCAAAGAGAGCTGTGTGGTGGCTGCAGATGGAGAAGTCTTGCCGTTGCTGAGGAAGTTGGGTGGCCGTGCGCTGTGTATGCTGCCGGAGCGGTGGGGGTACGGCACCTGCAGGGTGTCTGGATGGAGATCAAATGAGCTGCGCGTCTCCAGGGACTCCATGCGCCTATGTCGAGGCCTCTGGCCCAGCGAGTCCGTCCTGGCGAGGGAGGCATCATCACCCTCAGACATGCCCCCCATGCTCTCTCCTGCATCCCCCTCATCAGAACTGGACTGGCCATCACCAGACAACAAGGAGCGCCTTTCACCAGACTGGTGTTTCTGCCTCTTGAGGCTGGGGGCTCGGCCTAGACTGTTCCAGCTGGAGCGTCTGCTGTTCCAGCTACTGGCGGAGCTCAAGGGGGCATTAGGGGAGCTCCGTGCACTGGACTGCAGAGAGATGGACGGGAAGGGAGAGATGGTGACAAATAGATCTCACTATGTTCAAAAATTTTCAAATATTAGAAGTGAAGTGAAATACCCAGCTAAAGCTTAAATGTGAAAGTGTGCCGTGTTTAAAACTATTGATTCATTTTTAAAAGAGTTGACTCAAAGTGGTTTAAATGGATTATTAGGGTAAATGAATCTTTAGCCGTGTCAGCGTGACGTCAAAATGGAACTCAAGCCCTGTCCATTTGTTGCGAGCACAGACCCAAGAAAATTTAAACCCCACCCACAAACACTGTAGCAAAAAAAAAAAAAAAGACAAACACTGTAGCAGATCCTGATTGAATCATGTTGCAATGACACTGTTCTCTTAAGTATGAGGAAAAGTTTATTTTTGCAAAAATAACTCAGAATTATAGCCCCAGACTTGTGCTGTATTCACTTCATTTTTCTGATAAGTGCTTCAGCAATCTACACACTTATAACGGGGCATTTGTCGGCCGTTTATTAAAGAAAGGATCAGGAAAGACTATTGATGTATGAGACTTTTTCAGAGCTTGACAGGAACTTTACAATTGACATGGATCAGTTTCTTCCTCCATATCACAAGTGTAGGTAAGTGTGATTAAAATAGTTGTCTCATTGTTTTCTCTAGCTTGCAAAATGCGTAATTAATTGTGTTTTGATACTTGTAACCGCTTCACGCTGCTTGTAGTGTATCTGGTTAACTGATTTAAACGCATTTGTGAGGTCGCAATCCTCTGCTGTTTGTAGTTGCTAGGGCCACCATTAACTGTTCCTACATGTTTTCAAGTTTTCATAGTTTCAAAAGAGTTAAACTTTTGCCACTGTGTGGATTAATACTGAATGTGTGTCATGGTTAAGAATAGAGCAAGTTTAACTGCATTGCTTTAATGTACGTCTGCACTGAGTGCACTCGGACTACTTTAACATTGTTGAAAAGCTGTGGTGGGCGTTTTTTTTCTGTCTCTCTCTGAATGCAGTCGACCAATCGCAACAGACTGGGTCATTGGACCAATCAGCACAGATTACCATCGAGCTAAGGAGGTGTTTGGAAACTAATAAATTGGTGAACAAATCATATAGAAGTCATTTGGATATTTAGGTAAAAATAAATGCATATTATAAGACAATGAAAGTGTTTTTTGACCTTGCATGCATATCAGCCTGTTGTTGGAGACCCCCAAAACCAAAATATGACCTTGTTTAATGCATAATAGGGGCTCTTTATTACTACTACCACAAAAACCAACAATGTGACTCTGATAAGTCTGACAAAATTCAGAGTAACAACATTGATCTGCATAATACAGTTGCCTTGCGTTTTTTTTCCCCCTGAGCAATTGAGTGAATAAAAACGTTTGGGATTAGAAATGCATTTTTTATAAAAACCATAGAAAAGTATAATTTATATTTAAATTTATATTATGCTTACATATTTTTAAATAAAACATTTATTATTATTATTATTATTATTATTATTATTATTATTAAATACGATATTAATTTATATTAGAAATCATATACATTCATCTGAAAGCATTTTTTTTTTAAAATGCTACAAAAAGTCTGACTACTTTTTCTTTATTGCGTGCAGATAGTTGCATGCATGATTTATCTAATTTTATTGTTAGGAATTAATATCATTATATAATATTGCATAATATTATGAATGGGTCTTATATATATGGGTCTTATATATATCCCAGAGCGTAATGTCAGAAATACAAAACAAAAACAGCTAAAAGCTGTAAGTTTCTAACAAAAATTGGTACAAACTGGAGATTTGTCTTGGCCATTAGGCTCCATGGAGACACTGCTGCCTCTGCGGGACTCTTGGCTCAGTGCTGAATCTCCTCCTCCTGATATCTTGGGGATGGGCATTGGTGTGGCAGCTGTGTGGGTGATCAGAGGCGGTGTCAGGCTGCTCTTCAGATCCACATGGCCATTGATGGGCACAACTGTGTGAACAAGTAGTGGGAAAGTAGAGTATGTTCAACATTACCACTGATGCTACAAAACATGACAGACAGCTGAAAAATGCATTAGGAACTATTTCAAGCATGAATTTTTCATACAGGATTTAATCTTCAAGAAGAAACAGGAAGCATGAAATAAAAAAATAAAGAAAAATACAATTTATGAACCCACTATTGGAAAGGTAAAAGGTTATCTGAGATAACACAGGAGTATAATGTAAAAAGAAAAGTTTAAATGAAATTAATTGAATAAATCATATAATATTCCATAATAATAAACAGGGGGGGGGGGGGGGGGGTTGGATGGGGGTCTCTCTTTCTTTTTTCCTGTTCAGTTCTTGTTTCCAGGTCCCCCCGCCTTAATTGGATGTGCTGCGAGAGTGCGGTGTGGTTGGTGCTCAGAGAATGCAGCATCTTTTGAAAAGTAGACCGACGGAGTCAGATCACGGGGGTAGAGACAGAGAGCATTTTAAGGAATGCTTTGTTGTTTTTCAATAACCTGTTGTAGTGTTTGCTAGTTGTGAAATTTAAGGTGCTCTCAATTTTTCTTCTCTCTCCTCCCTGTTGTGACTGTAAAACCCATATTTTGTATTATAAAGCTGTAAGGGGCCGAGCGCCATTTATTTTGTTGGTTTGGTTAAGAAGTAAGGGAAGTATTTATAATTTTTTTCTGCATTTCTCCTGATTCTATTAGGTAAGTTATCTTTGGGGTGGAGTTAGTTAATTTTTTGTCTATTATTTCGGCCTTGAGGGCGTCACATTGGCGCAGTGGGTGGCACGGTCGCCTCACAGCAAGAAGGTCACTGGTTTGAGCCTCAGCTGGGTGAGTTGGCATTTCTATTTGGAGTTTGCATGTTCTCCCTGTGTTTGTGTGGGTTTCCTCCGGGAGTTCTGGTTTCTTCCACCAGTCCAAAGACATGGGTAAGCTAAAAATTGTCTGTAGTGTATGTGTGTAAATGAGTTTGTATGGATGTTTCCCAGGGATGGGTTGCAGCTGGAAGGGCATCCGCGGTGTAAAACATACAACAACGCTGTGGTAACGCTAGATTAATAAAGGGACTAACCTGAAAAGAAAATGAATGAATGAATGAATGAATTTTGGCCTTGCTTAGCCCTGAATCTATTTTTGTTTGCACTTTTATTCTTTGTTTTCTTTCAATACAAACTGTTTCCCCTTTTCTCACAATAAAAAGCACCTTATAGTCATTAAATCATAATCTGCTAACTGTTTATTTTCTTTGACTTATGTTCAACGTCAGTCCTAGACATTTTGGGGTTGTAATATCTTCAAAGTATATTCTAGCTCTAAATCTTCTTGCCATTTTGCAGTTTCGGGATTCAGCAATAAGCATGGCCTAATAAAACAAAGAAAAGATATTTCATTGAGTTAATATAAAGTTAATAAAATATACATAGCTCTAAGATTATAATAAAAATTCTAGGAAAAAATAATTATAAATATGAATAAAATAAATATTTTTTAAACTATTAAAACAAAAAATGAGGGAATTACTAAAATATTCATTTATTTATTTTCTTTTCACCCTAGTCCCTTTATTAATCTGGGATGACAGATCACAGTGGATGCCCTTCCAGCTGCAACCCATCACTGGGAAATATCCATACACACTCATTCACACTCATACACTACGGACAATTTAGTCTGCCCAGTTCACCTATTTCACATGTCTTTGGACTTGTGGGGAAACCCACGCGAACACGGGGAGAACATGCAAACTGCAAACAGAAACACCAACTGACTCTTTCTGTGAGGCGAATGTGCTACCCACTGCGCCACCATGCTGCCTACTAAAATATGTATTAATAATTATTTGTAAATTATAAATAACGTCACAAATAAATAATAAATACATATACATATTATATACATATAATTACTCACAAATTGATTGATTTACAGGGCCAACAGAAAGAATAAAAAAAAGTTTGACCCCTGAATATGCAACATGCTTTTATGTAAATTATATTCTGAGGGTCTAACCGGATGATGCAGACATATCTTTCTTGTGTCCCGAAACATCCTCCAAGCTCCGTGCATAAATATCGGCTTCAGAGTCCGACTTTGAGGCATCACCCTTTATCAAACACAGAAGGGGAAAAAAATAACATTAGTCATCAAGTCTTAGTATTTCTGGCATTTAGGGAAAATATTGCAAGGTGAACAACAAGCAGGAGGTGAAGGTGTGATCTCCCCACCCCAGCAGCCCTCAAAAAAAATCCCAGAGGGTGACTGGTATCTGAGGGAGAGACATCCTGATCAGGGGAAAGCACAAAGAAACAAAAAACAAATTGCCAGCATGCATTAGACAGCACCAGAATGCACTACCACTCTGAAACCAGCAGTATTGCATGCTAAAGATTAGTCAAATGTATCTTTCGGTGTATTTTTATAAGCAGATGATCTCATGGTCAGACCATCTGCTATATTAGCGTAAGACATATCCACATGCGGGTGAATATGTGTGGGTTTTTTTCTCAGCTCGCTGGAGCACCAGTAAAGCCGGCACGTCCAATGATCAGGCAGGAGAAATAAACACTGCTATTTTTATCAGAGGGCTCATCACATTGTTTGGCCTGTATCCTCCTCGTCTTCAAGTCTTGTGCTGGTTTTAAATTGACATCATGCCTAGAGTTTCAGTGTGGTCTCGTACAGATCTTTAACCCTGGATGGTTTGTCAAAACAGAGATCACTGTTTAAGGTTGTGGATCAGACTCTCAGTTCAACTATCAAGGTCCTGACATACTTCCAGCAAAGTTCTTTTTAGTTTTTGGTTTAGGGGTATAAGCTTGAAATACCTAAGCTGTCAGCAAATAACCTGCAGCAGAGAGACGCATTTAGATTAATATATAAATATGTGGTAAACTTTTTTCTCTTTGTAACTACGTTAGATACACACTCAATTACATTTACAGAGGTGAGACACCAACAATTAAGAAAGAATCAGATGTGAATATGTTTCCAATTTGGCCCTCCATCTATGTCTTGTCACTTTTGTTTTAACATAGAATGGTTGGTCCCACTTTATATTAAGTGGCCTAAACTACTATGTACTTCCTTCAAAAAATAAATACAATGTACTTACTGTGTTTATGATGTACTGTATTTGAGAACACTTGTGGTGCTTTTGAGTTGGGATAGAGGTTGGGTTATGGACAGATTTGGTGGTATGGGTAGGTTTAAGGGTGGGTTAAGGTGTAAAGGATGGTCAACATTGTATTTACAAATGTAATTACAAAAGTTAATTACAGATGTAATTACATACAGGTATTTAATCAAGCATAAGTACACAGTAAATACATGTATTTACACAATAAGCACATTGTAACAAACTATTAACTCCTGTGTAAGTACTTATTAGTTAAGGCCACTTAATATAAAGTGGGACCGAATGGTTTAATGCAACTGACTTTAAAATAAACAAAATAGTGCTTACTGTTTTATTAGAATTACACTTTCACTGCACTACTTAAAAGAAAGGCTGTGAAATATTGGAAAAATCTGACATTGCAGTATTTTGTTTTGCAATGTGATATGAATATAATTTCACATGATTTGAATAGCTCTATTTGGAAAAAAAAAATCATTCCTGTAGACTGACTGGGATGATCAAGTCTTTTTCAATGCAATGCATCTGCAAAAAAAAATAAACAATTAATAAATAAATAGTCCAAAAGTGAAGAATAGACGTTAGTTATTACTTGATTGTTCAAGCTACCTCACAGAAATGCTCTGTTTGTTGTGCTGAGTTGTTGAATGTAATAAAAGGTGAATTTAAAAAAAATCTGAAACATCCTGGATCTGTTTCTTCGCTCTTCTTCATTCTTTTTTAATGTATTATAGAAGTATTGGATTGGATTTTAGTATCGGTAAATACTCAAAATCAAATGACTTGGACTTGAGGGCAAAAAACCTAATCAGGACATCCCTAGTAACAGTATTCAAGTACAGAGATTGAACAATCAATAAAATGTAAAATAACATAGTGATCATCGTATATTAATCTTTTAAAGTTATATTTAATCATATCTTTTAATCTTTATTAAATAATCTAATCCAGCGATGTGACTATTGCAGATACACACATTGTGATATCGATGTTCAAATGATAAATTGGTCAGCCCTACTATAAAGCAGATTTTTTGGTGTTTATTTAATATTTATAAAGGCAGAATGCCAGAGCATGAACTAGCATGGCTATCTTTATTAGTAATTAATTATCTGGAAAGCCCACATTGGCCCTTTCAAACTCCAAATAAAATTAGGTTTTGGCCTGATTTACTTTGAAATGACATTACACTATGTTTATTCTTTGATTTAGCTTGAAGTATATCAAGGACTTTAAGGTTTCTATTTTTAAACAATGATTATACATTTAATAGCATGACTGAGAATCTCAAATTTTAAGTAATGGATGTAAAATTGCCAATAGCAAATACTAAATATTGTGTGCGTTCACCATACTATACTATGTGTCAAAGAGAAAGATGAGACAAAGGGGAGACCATTCTGACAAACCATGCACCTACAAACAATGTATCCCATTGGCTTCGCTTATTAACATCAAGCTGAATCAAAACTTTGTCCATTTCAGTTTCTGAAAGAAAATCAATACATTAGTAATGAGCGTGTAAATGGGTAATGAAGAAAAAAAGCAAATTTGAGTTGAAACCAGTGGGATCACTGCAACACAAAACACGGCACAATTGAACAGCAATTAATCCACACCATGACTACAACGGAAAACAGGGAATAGGACTTGTCAATAGGGAATAACACAATATCTAAGGCAACAATAAACAAAACTTAGTTAGCTATGACACTGGAGTTGAGATACTGTATGTAAGTCAGAACTCCATGCCCCTTTATACCAAAAGTGAAACAAAACACAGCTGTGATAGGTTGAACTAGCAGAGAAGCACTACTATGCATCTTCAGAAACCACCACCACCATCTTCTGAGTACAGTTAGCTGTTAGCTTAACATTAGCGCCCACGGTTACTCACTGCAAGATCAGAACTGAGCACTGTGGACATTGTGTCTGGATTGGGCTTGACTATCCTCACTCCAACATGGCCTTTCTAAGCAAAGAAATGTGGGTGAAAAGTAGTATACTGTTTTTGGTAAAACAAAATGCCCCACATTTTGACATGATACTTGTAAAAGCTTAAATCGAAGAGATCTGTAAACAAATCATTGAGTCTGAAGAATGATCTCATCTTGAAAGATATGTGAATAAATCAGAAGACTCACTGAAAAAAAAAGATATTTGACTCCAGTACTTTATTCACAATCTCATTCATACCAGTTTTTGACTCAACTGGTTCACTGAAATGGCTGGATGCAGGTGAATAAATTGTTCACAAATCAAGCAGATCTGCTAAGTGAATCAAATGATTCACTAAAGAGATCTGATGCAAATAGTTTTTTTTGCAAATGATGGTGAATTCCAATGAATTTACAAAAATGCATAATTGTTAAACAAAATCTAATCTTCATCGGGTGTAAATGGATCAATGTATAATTGAGAAAGTTCAAATATATAAAATGTGCCTCAAATTTGCTCAAATGTAATATAGTTACAGCCACTCCTACAGTGCTGCCAACTCTTTTCAACTGAAAGTAACTAAGCTCTATCGCTAAATGTTGCTAGAGAAGCATGCATAAATTTGCACATACTTACAGTCTAACCGAACTTCTAACTTATAGTTTTTGTTTAGAAGCTAAGTTCAATGGTTTACATTTAGCTGATGATTCATTATAAAGCGTGTTTGGCATGCTGTCCCGGAAAATAAGACCCTGAGCTCATAAGATCCTCGAGCTTGGCGCTCCCTCCCATTTGAAGGGTGAGAGGGGAGCTTGAGCTCATGTAGATCTCTAGATGGTAACATTCTTGCTGTAAAGCCACAGTGAAAACCACTGGGCTACCCTATCAAGGAAAAGGGAGAAGGAGTAGTTATTAGTTTTTTTATTATTATTATTATTATTATTGGTAGTATTACATGGATATTTATAGTGAGGTTAGAATCATACAATTGGTGGATCATTCGTTGGCTAATGCGGGACCAGCCGTGGTCAATAATAAGCATGTGATCCTTTCACAATTAGTTTATAAATAAACTTCACAAATAGTTTCTTTCCACAATGACACCTCTTGTACATTGTTTTATTGTTTTTTAGGATAAATCTGTCATTTCTGCTAAAAAAAAAAATGCTAGTTGAATTTTTAAATCAGTTTTTGCCAGGGGTGTAAATACTTTTGAGCTTGACCGCATGTCATGACATCCATTTTTATCACATGAATTATGTGCTAAAGAAGTGATATTTAAATTTTTGTTATATGCATACCTAATTATTTTGTTTCATGAACTATGCAGTATAGAATCTCTGATATAACTTGTACAATTTCAGAAACCGTAATGAACTTTTTTTGTCTTTGCTAGATTTGATGCTAGGTGCTTTAAGACGCTAAATCTAGCATCAAAGTCACTAAGTTGGCAACACTGAACTGTCATGAGATTGTGTTGTACTTCTCTTAAAAACATCAAGAGTGAATTAAAAAAAAAAATCCTAAGGTGTTTGCAAGAACTGTTTTGGTCAGGTACAAAGTGTGAAAGAAAGTCTACCGGGGCTGTACTTTCAAATTAAGATATTAAGCTTGCTATGCGACTGCTGCTTAATCACAGGTCTTAATTTGAGAATTCTACTGGGCTTGACTAACCTTGCTGATAGAGAGATTTCAGGCATGTTGTAGCATGAGATGTGCTAATAGCCCCTGAGTAATGACTAGCAAAGTGTTCTACAAAAGTTTTATTGTCAAGGTGAAGTATTGAAATGTGTAAAAGGCCATCGGTGCTCTTCCACTGCATGTGTGTCACCTAGCACAGCTGCATGAATGAAAACAAATACAGGATGTGATGTCCAAAATCACAAAACAGACGAGTCTCCTCAACAGGGTCAAGTGCTTCCACTCAGCTCTGGCTCACTGAATGGACTTCCTTCATCGCTGAGCTACTGAACTCAGCGGAGGGTTTTCTAACAAAAATTTGAAAGTCTTGTTAAATGAAGAAAACGAGGATAGCATGCAATTCTATGAGATCAAAATAATTAGTAAAGAGGTATTAAGAGAAGCTTCTGCATGTTAAATGTTTTGAGTTCTATTCAAAAGGATTTTCCCAGTCGCCTTATTTGCTTTTGCACAGCAGTCGGCCTGGCTTTGTCTGATTTTGCTGAGGCTTTCCATAAGCCCAAACATATCCTTTCAGCCAGATGAAATAAAGCATGAGGCTCTACAAGGTTTGTTCTCTGCCGCCAGGCACTGAGCAAGTGAACCTGAAGAAAGACTTTGAGTCGGGTCTGCTTCTACAAGAAACAATCACAAGTGACAGTGTCCACAAACGCTGAGATCCTCCTGGTTAGTCTCATGCGGCGTACTACATACCCCTGAGTCTATAGGCAGCTGAATACAGCTCAGCTGGCCATGCAAATCGTCCCGCTTGGTAATTTCCTAAAGGTTGGGCATGTGTTAGGGTTTTACCACAAAGAATGAAAAGGTAAGATAGAAAGAAGGGAAAAAGCACAAAAGAAGAGTTAGAAATTGGACAAAAGACACATAATGAGAAATTGACTCCCATATTCCACTATATACAGCAATTAAACACTTGCATTTTGGGTGGAGTTTAGGGTGTTTGCATTTCATGTACAGTACAGTACAGTACAGTACATGCTGAAATTAATTACCTTTTGTTTTACTTTTCTATAAGATGATGCATAACACATTTTTTTTTTTTTTTTTGAGTAATTCAGTATATTAATCCAAGCGAAATGAATGTAGTTAACGGAAAATCCTAATGCACATAACATTAATGTTGTTCTTTTTAATTCTACATTTTCTTTAAGATCATAAACTAGTGCTCTGGGTCAGATTACTTTTTAATGGTCCATAATACAATTTTTATGTTCCAAAACTCTTGGAAAATTATGCTCAACAAGGCCATAAACACATTTAGTCAATTTTATTGTTTCTTGTTACAAGAACTGTAACAAATCAGTTGGGCACCCTTCCTTGGCATTCATTTCCTATAATGAGAGTGCTGGGCATGTCACACTGCAGTTTGTCAGAGTCTGACATTTTAGTTAAAATGTGCCTTTCTTTGTGCCAGCTTTTGTAGCCTCTTTTTTTGAAAAAGATATGAGAATTGCACACAAGATTATTTATTTTTGCATATGATTTACTATTATTATTATTGTTATTATTATTATTATTATTAATGTATTATTATTATTATTATTATTATTATAAAATTACTATTAGTAGTATTATCATTATTAATATTATAATTATAATAATAATAATTATTATTATTAAATTAGTATTAGTAGCATCATCGTTATTAATATTATAATAATTATTATTATTATTAGTAGTAGTAGTAGTAGTAGTAGTAGTAGTAGTAGTAGTAGTAGTATATTATTATTATACTTATTATTATTATTTTTACTATTATTACTATTGCTACTACTACTACTACTACAATCATTATATAAAACTTTAAAGTTTTTATATAATTTTTAACCAAACAAATGCAGCTTTGGTGGGAATAATAAAACCAGAATAATAAAAAATCCAGATTTATTCTTCAAACTTAATGGACAGATCACTGAACAAGCTGATATATAGTTTACAGCAGTGCCAGTGCAACTACAGTATGTGAAGCTATTTGCTCCAGTGGACGGGACATTACGCTGCTGAAGGGACATTCATTCTGGCCCCTTGATCTCTCTCTGCTTCACACGCGTCATTCAGTCACCAGTTTCCCCAGCAACCCTGATGCACTGAAAAGTTCGGCCATCTAAAAATAAACACCATGTTTATAGAAAACTAAGGTTAAAATATTAAGCCAACTACAGTGTTTGTTGATTGTAGTGGAAAGTGAAACGATACCTAATAGATGATCAGATCAGTTTGGATAATACTATAAAATCTAATGCACTTAGTAAAGGTAAGACAAGGCAGACAAGGGTCAGCTGAGGGTAGGCTATCCTCTCGTATTTAAGTATGAAGTTTATTTTGAAAGCAGCATAATTTCCTCTGAGCTGCCATGATGCAGTATGAAAGCTATTTCTGTCTGGCAGACAGGCACATAAGCGGCACGCTCATCTTTTAGAGAGAAGGGGAAAGGGCAAAAAAAACTGATCTCCGTCCAGATAATACCTTCTTTCAAGTCAACTAAAATGGTCTGTGAGTTCATCCACACTAAGAACTTTCATTTTCCATCTTATTATGCTAATTATAATGAATGACAAACCAATTTTCAATTACGTGTTTTGTTGCTCAAATGAGGTGTTGCAGGGAAAGAAGCACTTGATTTTTTGATTCATCTGTTTGTTATTCCAACAATGATTTTGCTCAATTGAACAATAAATCAACATCTAGAGATACCATTTTCATTAAATGTTTTTTTTTATTTGCTTAATTAACTTTGTGAGCCAAAAATGACTAAAAACAATGTCACATTTGTTTTAAAATCCAGTACAAATAACATTTCAGTAAAATGTACAAAAATACAATGTCATCTTACCTCATTTCATATAAATCAGTCATCTAATCTTGATATTTTTACTAATACATTTTTAAAATGTATTTAATTTTGCATGGTAGGTACCTGCGTGCTTCATTTTGTTCCTTTCCAAAGAGACGGTAATAAAACAACCCCTCCACCCAAAATGATACATAGGTTCCACATTTATATCTCTGATTTATCTTAGTCTGGCCATTTTTTTGGTCTGTGTCTGTCTGTCTTTCTGTCAGAGAAGAATGGTTGCTATGCATTGGGAGATAAGTGGTCTCATAAGATCATGGAAAAAATAAGGTGATAAAGAAAAAAAGAATGAAGGAAGGAGTTCTGCATGAGAAGAGTGAGGAGTAGACGCTTTTACAAACAGAACAAGAAACGCTTCTAGTTAGATAAATAATAGTTGGCAGTGTCCTAAACAGGCATGACAAGACAAAGCAACAAGCATTTCAAGTGTCTGTCCTAACCAGCTGTGACAATAACACAACATTTTGTCAGTTGCTGCTGTATTTCTCTGGTGCGGTGGCCCAATTTAGTTCACGTATCGGCCATCTTGGAAATACTCCCAGGCAGCTATTTTCCCAACAACTGCTACTGTAACTATCTAAATATAAAAATTTAAGTAAATATTCTTTTATCATGATGCCTTCTTTTGGCTGCAATAAAAAAGTAGTAGCTCCGTCCCAGATGACCAATTATATACAATGCACTTAAACATCAGGTGTGTCCTAAATCGCATTCATACAGTATGCACTATTCTAGGCCATTTTATAAAATAAATAGTGTTAGTAGTGCATTCACACTGAAAATCTAAAAAGAATAAGTGTTCTTAAAATACCAGGATGATAAACTTATTCAACCATTAAAATGAATATGCTCGCATATTGGAAGTGGTGGAGATTTGCACACTGACGTTGAAATACTTTATTTATTTTGGATTGTAAAAGCCAAATTCTCCTACGAGAATAATTATAGTGCCTCCTGGTGGTAAATGTGGTTATACTCGTGGCAGGTATTATTTGGCTGTCTGGTCATTTATTACTTCACTAATTTGGCAACCATCAAATGACATTTGGGAAACGGTTTGAATTTCAGCTTAGTAAAAAAAAAAACATCAGTGTTCCAATTGGGACGACACTACATTCATATACTATGCTGTGGAGTATGTAAGTGCAAAAGTACACAGTGTGTCATTTGGGACGCAGCTTTATGTACTACATTATGTACTCTAATGAATTCACGTTCATTATTTAAGGTTAAATTAACGTATTATTTGGATATTTAAAGTGTACTTCTTAAGGCATAATATCAGGGGTGTTATATTAAGCCAATATTGACCATTACTGTTACATTTAAAAATAAATACCAAACATATAATAATATACGCACACATATTACTGTACAAATGTCTTCTTTCTCACCAGCCACGGAAGAAGCATCAAGCGCAAGTGATGTACATGTTAAATCAATGCAAAGACAAGAATAGACATCCTGCGGAGTAATACATATGAATAACGCGATTCACGCAAATGAAGTATTGCGCATTTTGCCTGAATTGTTCGAGTTCCACTAAAGTGGACCTCAGAATAGATCTAGTGGATTCAGACATGGCTACAAATGTATCGACGCTGTTTATCAGCTTTCCTATAGCACATAAAGTACAGGTATTCTCTCAATAAAATCCATGTTAGCCATCTAGCACCAAAGCTAGAGTCACTGGGGAGACAAAAGCCCTGCCCATCATGCAAATCTGCGTATATTGCTCAGTAAATTTGATGCGTGAATAAAGCCGTTTTGATGCACAAATGAAGCGAGTGAACTAAAAATGTCTATTTCAGCGCCAATAACGCGATTTATCCACGCCTACCGCATCTGGTGTGAACACAGCTTAAGGCCATCAAAGCTATTATTTTAACTTCAGAAGAGTTTAAAAAAGAGCGACAAAGTGGCTCAGTGGTTAGCACTGTCGCCTCACAGAAAGAAGGTTGCTGGTTCGAGTCCCAGCTGAGCCAGTTGGCATTTCTGTGTGGAGATAGCATATTCTTCCTATGTTGGTTTGGATGTGAGAGTGTATGGGTATTTCCCAGTAATAGGTTGCAGCTCGTAGAGCATCTGCTGCGTAAAACACATATTCTGGATAAGTTGTTTGTTCCTTCCACCGTGGCGACCCCGGCAACTTTTTTTTAAAAAATTTAGAAAAACCTGAAAAGAACTAAAGCTTTAGCCAGTAATCTACTGTAGCTATGTTATTATTCTAAATGTGTACATACAGTATTTTAATTAAGATAAAATATCTCTTAGTGTAAACACACACTCAAAAATGTCAAAGGAAAGACTTTCTTCTTTGCCCGTATATAAGTACAGGTTTTATGTACATTTTATTCTATTAACGCTATTAAACTAGCTAAATTCAAAATAAACTAGCATTCTACTTTAACTACTTCTGCTATGAGTAATATATTATAGCCTAAATCAGCAATATAAGGTGTTGAGCCATGCAGCTTTACACAGAAAGAAACTTAGACCTAAAATTGCTCCTCACATATATCAAACATCAAAAAAAGGATGAGAGGAGATTGATATGGAAGTTTAACTTGTCAAGTCCTTCAAGTTCAATCCTTGAACTTTAAAAGAAGAGGATTTGGTCAAGTGAAGCATAATGAAAAGTCATGAAAGTACAAGGTACGTGCTCTTAGTTTCACGCTTTTCAGCTGTGGAGTGGAGTGTGAGAATGCGCGCAAACAGATTGGCTGTGATTTTGAGTGTCGAGCGGCATTTTCGCTTTCAGCCTGGACAGAAAAATTGCTTTTCACTTGAATCTTGTCAAGTCGTGTCTGTTTAGGACAAAGTGTTAGACGGAGAGGTACAAGAGTGAGCTCGAGAAGAAAGATAAGGTGCTAGACTCTAAAGGACAAAGAGGAGATGACAGACTGCGAAATGTGGAGGGAAAAAAGGGTGAAAATGCAGAGGATATGTTGGAGACTGGCTTTACCTCTGTTTGGAATCCCTCCACTAAGATAGCAACTAAGAGGTTAAACAAGACATAATTCCCAAAGGTCATGAGGGCGATGAAGTACAGAGCAGCCACAGGAGAGGTGGAGGCCATCCCGTTGTACAGCACTTTATTCCAGTCCTCCTGAGTCAGGATCTGATATGCAGTGACATAGTAGACAAACATCAGAAACAAATATTCAACTACCATTTGCACTTGCACAAAATTTTGGGGTACTTTTTTATGCTTTTGAAATAATTCCTTCATGTCAGTCATGTCAGCATTTAATTGATCAAATGTAAATTTAAAATACAACTCTCTGGAATTTTCAATCAATCAATCAATCAATCAATCAATCAATCAATCAATCAATCAATCTTAATTTGATTTTAAAACTACAGTTTATTTTTGTGCTGGCAAAATTGATTAAAAATGTTTTAGTTTTTTTTGTACTGGAATCCTTTGCTCTCAAGCAGATATGGTAAATTGTACACTGTGGCATGCTTCAATAACATATCTTGCTACAAAAGTGTGATAATAAAATTTTAATTGAAATAAAAAACATAAAAAACAACTCTAAATGTCATCCCTTTAGTTAATCTATCATCTAACATTAATAAACATTGATAAACACTGTAATAAATGCACTGTTTATTGTCAGTTTAAGAAATGTAATGTTTAATGTTTATGCACATCAATTAAATATGTTTAAATTAGATTTTATTATAAAACATTAAATAAATTACAATAAAGATACTGTTTGATTTCAATAATAGATTGGTACATGTAGAAATTTCAAGAATTTCTTTTTTTATGTTATTTTACATTCTTCAGCAAACAAAACAATAAACATTTTGGCTTAATGCCTTCCTTGTTTAGAAAAAAAAAAAGTTAAAATCTCAAAATGTATTTATTTAATTGTGTAGATCAATATTTCCTGAAATAAGCCATCTAAAAGATCAGATTTAAGCAACTTAATTGAAGAATTAAGCAATGTTAATTTTAATTTAATTTAATTTAATTTAATTTAATTTAATTTAATTTAATTTAATTTAATTTAATTTAATTTAATTTAATTTAATTTAATTTAATTTAATTTATTTTATTTTATTTTAATTTATAAAATGTGCATTGCATGACCATTTGTAAATATCTGGGCTATAAAAAATCTGGGCAAATATTTAATTATAATTAATCAATTAAAGTTTGTTTAAATAGAATTTAAGTGTGTGTATTGTGTATATTTAGTATGTCTACTATATAAACACACACATGTATACACATTTATTTGTTTATTTATGTTTAGATATAAAATATTTGTGTATATGATCCAAATTTTAAATATTCATGTACACAATTGTTTTATATAGTTTTGTTTCCATGTATGTCTTTGTATCACATATAAATAATAAATATATATAATACATACATATGGTCAAAACAAACTTTGATTTCGGATACAATTAATCGCAACAACAAAAATAGATGTAGGGCACATTTACGTTATATTTGGTGCTGTATGTTTATGATTTCATCACTTGGATGCTTAATCAAAATTGGTGCTTGTGTATGCTGCAGGAATCTTGCCTGAAAAACTGTAACAATGGCCCACAATAAAGAATCAAAGTTCTTTCGGTCGGGAAGTGTGTCTCCATCTCTCTCAGAGCCGAATTTACACCCAAACAAGTGCATGCCTAGAATGCTGAAAAACAAAATGATGAAATACAATTAAATCTGAACGAACTGAATGCACAGCACATTCAAACATCAGAAAATCAATTCTCATCTTGCCTGAAAATGAATATGAAAAGCATCAGAAGCATGCAGAAGGTGGCAACATTGTCCATGGTCTTCATGAGGACCACCAACTGCCTCTGCAAGGCGGGCATAAATCGGACCAACTTCAACACCCGCATCAGCCTGAAGGTCCTCAGCACCGATAAACCTCCTCCCTGCTGGCCAACAATCTCCCAAACACTGTCAACATACATAAACACACATATCTGATATATATATATATATATATATATATATATATATGTATATATATATGTATATATATATATATATATATATATATATATATATATATATAGCAAAAAAGTGCATTATTTCAGTAAAAATATTATTTAAATATATACTATATATAATTAAATAAAGCATTTAATGAAAACAAAACTGATATTCAATGAACAACCATCACAACAATGAATTGGGTTACCATGGAAACCAACATATGACCGCTCCTCCCCTCCAAGCAAAACCACAGAATATCCATGAAACATGTTGATCATTAATAACTGCGAGAGCCCATCACAACAGTACCACGCTAAATCTTTCGCTTGTTCAGACATCTCAGTATATGCTAATTTATGTCAGTAGTGAATAGATGGGCGTGAAATTGCAGCACTCATCATGACAGCTGACAGTCATCAGACTGAACAGGCAACAGATGTCCCATCATTCAGTAATAGCTGCATTCAGTCTGCCTGTCACTGCTGTGAAATAACACACTGAAATGAAGATGAACATCAACAAATAGTGGCACAGGCAGCGTTATTAACAAGAGCACACGTACCTGATTACAACAATAATGCCGTCAAAGATGTTGTACGGGTTCTTGATGTACCCAAAAGGCCCATAGACTAGCAGTTTCAGGAGCATCTCCAGCACAAACAAACTGGTGAAGACGATGTTGCTTATTTCCAGAGCATTTGTCAACTCATCAGGCTGGAAAAGAATAAACAAAGAACCAAGACTATCACAGAGTTGCTATTGTGTGCCACATCAGTACTTTTGAGAAAGTCACAGCAAGCTGTATAAATGAATAAAAAAAAAAAATGTCAAAGATTGGGTAATTTAAAAAGTGCTCTAAAAAAGGCACTAATTAAAAAAAAAAAAAAAAAAAAAAAAAGATATGAACATAATGCAGGAACACAAATTTTCATTAAAACAGCACATAACCAAAAATACATAAATAAATAAATTACAAAAATTGGTAGAAACTCAAATATGTGCTTCTATGAACCATGCATTGATTTTTAATCGACCTACAGATTGACATTTATAATAAAATAAAATAAAACAAAATTAAATTAAAATAAATGTAATTAAATTTAATAAAATTTGTTTAAATTAAATTAAATTTATTTAAATTGCCAAAAATAAAATAAATAAATAAAAAATATATAAAAATAAAAATAAATAAATTTCATAAAATTGCGAAAAATAAAGTAAAATAAATGACAATGGACAACAATGGACGACTATCTATTAAATTTTGTTATATAAGTTAACTGTTTTTCCATCTTTTCATTTCTGTACCTTTTCAATATCAATTATACTAATATAGAGTACTGCTCCAAATGTTAGATTTTCAAGTGTTGTGTGCAAACTTCAAGTACATTAAAGTGATTAAAATCAATGAAATACATAAATCAAAAACTTTTTGGATCAGTACATTCCCAACAATAACTATAGAAACTGTAGCATAAAAAACACATTATTGCAACAGCATCTCAGACAGTCTAAAGGCAGACCTAAAAAATAAGCTGCGCTAACTGATTTTCAGAACATTTGTATTTCAATCATGTATACTCATATATACATAAAAATACTTGAAATCACAAAGCTTGAATGTGCTTGAAATGCTAGAAGAGAACTTGCTGGCTCACAAACATCAAACACATTGAGCTGCTACTTTTTTCTCTAACTGGTGATAAAGGATTATCCACAAACTATTGAAACTTCAGTGCCTGACTGTCTTCAATGCAGATCCTTAAGACTGGCTCAAAAAAATCATACACTAACACAGACTTGTTTACAGCAAAAATAGCTAAAAACCCTTCAAATAGGTTATTTGCAGTATATTAGGAATTGTTTTTTGCACATTTTTAAGAAAGCTTATTTCAGGGTTTCTGCAGGTTTCAGCAAGTAAAATGTAAGACTTTAAGACATTTTTAAAACTATTATGAATGAAATTTTAGACTCATACAGGTCTAAGTAGTTTTTTTTTTTTTTTGAGTTCCAACTGAAGTCATAATCAAACTAAGGAGAAATTAAATAAAGACGTGGAGTATTCTTGTAGTCGCATTTTTAGAGAGCTGTACAGACATGTAAACACTTTAATCACTCTAATACCACTTTGTATTACTTCGTGGTACATTTTGCAACAGGACACAAACACGGCAGTTGTCAGGCTTTTTACAACAAACAAATGAGAATGGTTGCACCAGAAATCACCTACTACTCAAGTAGGTATTTGTTAAATTTGAATTTAATACACGACCATGTTACATCATTCTTTAGGATAAAAGTTCTATATAGTATAAATGTGAGTAGTATGAATGGAACTAGAATGTGCTGCATCCACCATTCTTCATTATCACGAGACCAACCTGCGTCAGTGGTATCATTCCCATCATTCATGAATTCTCTCAAGTGGCATCATGGAATAGCGTATCGTCCATTGGATGAACACCTCAGAATCTCAGAAGTGGTACTTCTGAGAGTACTTCTCACAAACTGTATTTGCAATAATATGAATTTGAACATACTATACGCATACTGTTTTTAGCAGACTATTTTGTATAAGTATGAGATTTGCGTAAATTAAACTATGTACGGTAACATGGAACACCAAAGGAATATTCAAAAAGTAACTCATGTAAACACCTCAATCATATTATTGTCTTATTCAAATTATGGCAAAAAATTTGATTAATGATGTCCATGTAAACAGAGTCACTGCTTCTTTGCCTTTATTTTGAATGTATAGTCAATACTAGGCATGCAGTTCATATGAGTAGGGTAAAGTAAATCAAGGACATGATGGAAAAAATAATTTTAATTATTTTTAAAGGTTGGCAGAGCAGTTACAAAGTATTGTTCTCTTTATACACAGACTCACAGATCAGATCTCGAGAAGATATAAGAAAAAGATGTTATTAAACACACACACACAAACAAATCTGCTCAACTCTGAAGGGCCAAAATAATATTTTGTTCTCATGTAATTAAACAGAACACACACTCGCTTTCACAGCTTCATTTTTTCCAATAGCTTGCAGTGCAGAGTGTGCTAGATAAAATAATGCAAGGATTAACTTTCTGACATCTCAAACATCAAGTTTTCTCATTGTTCTTTTAACCAACTTAAATCTCCGATACAGGTGAACTACAAAAGAAGAACAGCAGATATGCTGGTGTAATTGATGTTGTTGATAGTTCGGTATGCAGAGAGAGGGTTTTTTATTTTTTTATGAGGCACGGGTGAATTAAAGGAGAGACATATGGGGCCGGTTCATATTTCGCTTCAGTTTTTTCGATTGTAAAAATGAGACTGGGCAAGAGACCCAGCACGCATAACACATTCTTGAAACATCACGGCTAGCTGGGTTTAAAGAACAGAGTCTTAAACGGCTGAAAACAAAACACAACATCCCCAAGCACACAACTATTTGCCTATGAAAACTAACAGTGGTTTTAAGACCCGTTTAGACAGGTCGCCCAACTCAAGAGCTTTAAATGATGACAAAAACTATGTAATCGTTTTACCAAGATGATCGTTTCCGCTAAGTAATGAGGAAAAAATACAATTACATACAGCGCATGAAATGAAAAATAACATCTATATTAGCTAATAGAATTAAAAGTAATCTAATCAGATGGAGAAGTGGTCCATGGAGCACGATGATGAAGTGTGGGGCTATTTGTGGCTGTCGAGGTGTTTCACAGAGGTAGGGAAGGAAGCCAACTGAATTTTTTTTGATGTTGTTTCTGGAACTGAGCAGCTCAGGGTTGGGCATAGTCTACCCAGCTGGAGCTTTTGCACTTGGCCTCTTTATAGGGTAAAACCCTCAAGTTCAAATCAGGATCACTTGTAGGAAAAGAAGATTGGTGTAGACTGTGTGTGTTTGCGTGTGTATATGTGTAAGTGTGTGCCTTGTTAAACTGATGTGTCTTTTATCAAGTTTGTATTTATCAGTGTACATTTCAGTGCTCTCCACAGTTTTGAAATATACTTGCTTTGGTAGCTGGATTGAAACACACCTTTTACTCAGAGCACTTTAATGGTTAACATTATATGACAAACTAATTTGTTTTTACTAAATATTTACTAATATTTTTGTTTATTATGACACAGTTTTACAGTTTTTTATTCAACTGGTTAAAGGTTTTTAAAAATACTTTTTATTTCTATATTTCTTACGTTCATGCTATTTGTATTGTGATGTGACACTGGACAAGGGAGTGCAGATTCAAACGCAGGTTGGTCAGGCCAGCAACAGTGGTCAGTACAGGCAGGCTACAGACAACATAAACAAACAAAGCAACAAAGCAAAGGTCTAACACGGAAGGTCAGCGCAAGGAAAACAAATCGTAATATTTATAAGAGTATAACAAGACTCAGCAAAGTCTGTGTGTCTGTGTGCTGTATAAATAGTCCAACTTATCAGTCTTTGAGCAGCTTGAGCTGTGTGAGTGTGATCGATGGAGACTTAGATCACTGGTAAACCATATGCACCCATCGACAGGTAAGGTCTGCTGCTGACATTTTGTACAGTATTGCCAAGGCATTTTAGATGTATAAAATATGTAATATGCAGTTATGTGCATATTCTTCGCAATAGCATTAATCTGGTAAAGTCACATACATATCTAAATGAACCTTTATTATGCTAATGAGCATCTATAGCCTATTTTTTTCTTTTATTCAGTTTTGTGGAAATAAGTTGTGTCCTGTGATAAGCTCAGATTTCACATAATGTCATTTTAATTGTTATATTTTCTAGTTTAATTTATTTTAATTGTGTTTACATGGTGCAGCACAGTGGTGCAGTGGGTAGCACTATCGCCTCACAGCAAGAAGATTGCTGGTTCGAGTCCGGGGTAGGTCAGGTGGCATTTCTGTGTGGAGTTTGCATGTTCTACCCTTTTTTGTGTTGGTTTCCTCTGGGTGCTCTGGTTTCCCCCACAAGTCCAAAAACATGCGGTATAGGTGAATTGGTTAGGCAAAATTGTCCGTAGTGTATGAGTGTGAATGAGTATCTAAAGATGTTTCTCAGTGATGGGTTGCAGCTGGAAGGGCTGCAACATTAAAACATTAGCTGGATAAGTTAATTGCCGCACTAAGATCGAGTAAAACTAATAGCGAGATGCACCCTTGGTCAGCAACTAAGAGTAAATCATTGGTTATTTTCACTAATGCGGTTTCTGTACTGTAATGAGCCCTGAAACCTGACTGAAACACTTCCAAAACATTGTTTGTCTGCCGAAAGGAGCATAATTGAGTAGAAACAACTTTTTCTGTTATTTTAGACATAAATGGAAGATTTGTAATATAATAGCTAGTTGTTATGTTCAAAACATTGATCAGTAATAGTAATTTTTAGTAGTAATTTTTATTACTACTTATTACTTAATATTACTTATTATTACTGAATTTTTAGTAGTAAAAATTAATAGTAATTTTTATAATTTAATATTTTAATATTTTTAATATTTAATATTATAATTTATTAAGTAATTTATTATCGTTTTAGCAAATAGTGAATGTAGATAGATTTGTAATCGTAATGTAATAAATAAAGCACATTTCGTTCACTTTTGGAACTTGTTGACTATGTTAATATGATTTTACCATCACTGTAATCATCAGAGTCACAGTAGCTTCCCCGGTACATCCGACATCTGGGTGAATTTTCTCAAATACAAACTGCTCAAATACA